CCATTTCTACATATAGAGCACTTGATTTTGTGAGTATGATCAGATGGTGCTTATTCATTCTGCGTACCTAGAGGAGACAGGACAGAGTTTATGTGTTGTATTTCATGATTAGAGTGTACTTTTTAGGGGGGTGTTTGTGTATTGTATTTCATGATTAACGTGTAATTTTTAGGGGGAGTTTGTGTAGTGTATTCTATGAATAAAGTGTAATTTTTAGGGGGAGGTTGTGTATTGTATTCCATGAATAAAGTTTAATTTTTAGGGGGAGGTTGTGTATTGTATTCCATGAATAAAGTTTACTTTTCTACTTCTAAAATGAAGAATATTTTTAGGACCTAAATTGACCAAAACATGTTGCTTCCTATCAGCTTTTAAAAATTCTAAATGTTTTAAATGCATTGGTTGTTGGGGGTACACCTTACAGCGCTCCCCAGACCTTAGCGCGGGAACAGGAAGGGGTATCTCCCACCCGTACCCAACTACTTCCTCCCCTCCGGCGCTGAGTTTCACCATATATGCTAAAAACAATCCTGTCAGATCTCATTATATAAAATCCTGAATCCACCCTTGGATTGTACGAAAGACTTGTTAAGAAAAGCTTCTTTATGATTCAGTCGGTTTTCTGATAAGATACACACTAGGACTAAATTTCTTTGCGTGAATTCTTACAAACCGTGATTCTCTACGCTATTCTGGCTGCTTGGAAGGAAGTAATCGTCCTTAACATATATTTTGTTCTCGATCTTGTTAGCGATAAAATGCTGAAGTGTTTTAAGAAATCTTAGATCAGAGCGAATCTGTTGAGTTTGTATCTGAAGCTGAGATTTGGACGCTGCTCCGATGCTTACAAAATACCAGTTTAGATTCTCTGAGCTACAGACGTGTGTATGTTGAAGATGACCTTGGAAGTATTGTTTCTCGCTTCAGCTTGTTAGTGGAATGAGCTTCACTTTGCGCTGTTGAATATTTAGATAAATTCCAAAAAGCACATTGAAAGAGAATGTAATAAACTTTTACCTAATTATCTAAAAAATTGCACTTAGAAAATTATATATATATATGTGTGTGTGTGTATATATATCTAAACACTGAACACTTTTTTTATATATACAAACTAAATTAAATTTTAAATAACGCGGTTTGGAAACGCAAACATCTCATTCCCGAGGGCAACGTCACGTGTGAATCACCACGTGGTTAGGTTTTCAAATAATATAAACTTGTTGGTGAAGTGTTAATATTTCTTTCCTGATGGCATTTTTCTCACAAACGCTTTTTAGAAGTATGTCAAAACGTGAATATTCTACTTAATGAGACATAAAAATAGTGTGTATTTTTATAGAGACAACACCATATCGTGTATTTTTTACATGGCATGGTTTCTAGATGACATTTGCTCTCAGAGAAAGTATACACATATGAATCTCCACGTGGTATAGTGTTAAAGATACATTTTAAAGCTCAGATTAACTAAGAAAATTGATTTTTCCTTTTGACATAGCTTATAAAAGTTTCCCATACTAATAATACTGTATTCAGTGGATTTTAAAGTTGCTGATTATAGGCGAAAGTTTCAGCGAAGGGGATATTAGAAATAGTTTGTTGAATTTAAGGCAAAGCTATTCGGGGGTTGTCTGCGCTAGGCATCTTCAACTTAGAAGTTATTGACTGTAGGGAAGGCGGCTAGTAAACTCCACCCACCGCCAACTCCTGGGCTACTCTTTTATCAACGAAAAACAGCTGAAACTTAAGCTAGATGATCGGGGATACATAAGAACATTTCCAGGAGATATGGGCTTGAAAATGAGACGAAGTTGATGTCGTTTAACACATCACAACTCTGCGAAGGTGTATTGTTTCTTATAGTCTTGTTGTTCGAACTATGTTGACTACGCTGTGTATATCACATCTTCTAATACGATCTGAGATGATGTCATTATGGTTGTTTCACGAAAAATAAGTTTTTGTGACTCAGTTTATATACGTAAGATAATTTTCAAAGCGATATATTTTCCGTTTATTTGAAGAGATGGCATTATATTATTCTAAAGAAACAAAATTTCATCTTACAAATAGTAAATACTAATTAATATTGTAAGGAATTTGGATTTTTATACATTTTATCGTCAGGACTTTCAACACGTATAACCAGGTGGTTAGGGCGCTCGACTCGCAATTTGAGGGTCGCGGGTTCGAATCCAAGTTCCACCAAGCATGCTCGCCCTTTCAGCCGTGGAGGCGTAATAAGGTGACGGTCAATCACACTATTCGTTGGTAAAAAAGTAGCCCAAAAGTTGGCGGTGGTGGTGATGACTAGCTGCCTTCCCTCTAGTCTTACACTGCTAAATTAGGGACGGCTAGGGCAGATAGCCCTAGTGTAGCTTTGCGCGAAATTCAAAACAAACAAATCAACACGTATCACAATACATACCGACCTAAAACAAAACGACAGTAGATTGTGGGATACCTATCTCTCCTCCCCCCCCCCTTAACTTGAAGGTACAGCAAAACACTTCTGACGTAGCATTTGGCTCCAATGACAACGATGTTCATGTGTAACTTCTAATATCAATGAATGTACATTTTTAAGTGGTGATCATTTTATATGGTCTTTATACATAAAGTCCATCTGCGCTAGTCGTGCCTAATTTAACAGTGAAAGACTAGAAGGAAGGCAGCTAGTCATCAACACCCACCGCCAACTCTTGGACTACTTTTTTGCCAACTAATAGCGGGATTGACCGTCACGTTATAACGCCCCCACGGCTGAAAAAGCGAGCATGTTTGGTGGAACGGGGAGTCGAACTCGTGACCCTCAGATTGCGAGTCAAGCATCCTAACCACCTGGCCATGCCGAGCTCATTTTCTATGAAGGTTCTTATACGTCACAGTGGTAAATAGCTATTATCTGTTTGAAAGAACGCATAAGGTGAAATTTTGTATCCTTAATAACTAAATTCAAATTTAGTCTTTTATTGGTCCTGTTAGTATAAAGTAATTCATATTTGGAGAAAGGGGTATTCCCATCGGCATAATAATATTTTAAACTATATATTTCCAGTTTTTTTGTTGTTGTTGTTGTTTATACATATTGTTTAATAAATAAGGATGAAGTTGTTTCCTGTTTAAACAAGAAAATGGTGAGGCATTAAACTTCCAAGTACACAATGATATACGTTCTTTACACTACTAAAGCCCCCTCCGCGGTTAGACAGCGGTAAATTTACGGATTTTTGACGCTAAAATTCGGCGTTCGATTACCCGAGACTGACATAGCAGATAGCCCAATGTGGCTTTGCTATACAATAAGCAAACAAACAAACACCACTAAAGTTTTATTTCCTAAGCCTTGTAATATGTTTCTAATTTGTATGCAACTGCTCATAGATTTTATTGTATTTTGTTGTTGTTTTTTTTTTTGGGGGGGGGCTAAATTCAATTTCAATTT